AATTGTTAAATAAACAAATATACAATGTAAATTGCACATTTTAACAAAATATCATTTTGTTTCTGCAGAAAAAGCTGAAATTAACTAGATATCTCTCAGAAATGTTACAACTGCACTCATAAAAAAATAATAATGCAAAAACATTATACAATACATTATACAATAAATATTAAATACCTAATAAACAATTGTTTTAAACAAATTATCGTAGAAGCTACTGTATCAGGATATTAGGCTTGAAACTTGTTACTCGGGGGTTTTTGGGGTCTCTGATTACGAATCTGATGTCCAAATTTCAAAATGGCGGATCCAATATGGCGGACAAATTTTTAAAAATTGTCAGCATCTGCCTGATATTTGTTACTCGGGGCTTTTTGGGGTCTCTGATTACGAATCTGATGTCCAAATTTCAAAATGGCGGATTCAATATGGCGGACGATTTTTTAAAAATTGTCGGCATCTGCTTGAAATTTGTTACTCGGGGGTTTTTGGGGTCTCTGACTTATAAGTACTAACAGCATCTGATTTTGCTTAACATCCTTAATTGCGGCGCTATGTGCTTTATAGTCTAACCCTTATCAACGATAATTTATTACTTAAGCTTCATCATTTGCTTTAGTGGCCCTAAAAAGGGCCGATTGAATATTTTTGTTTATAGTCATTATTATGAAACAAGATTTTTACTTACCTGGTAAGTATTTTCCGTTCATTATTGAATAAGTTCGTCACGTAAGCTTCATCGTTTGCATGTATGGCCCTAAAAAGGGCCGATTGCATATATGTATTAAAATACTTTTTTTCGGGTCCTTTAGACCCGAAAGAGAAACGATTGAATCTGATTTGGAATCAGAAATTTTGCAGTTGATCGATCAGTACGAAGATCAAATCAATTAATTGATAATTGTAAGTAGTTGAATGGTAATCTTACATAAAAGTATTTTAATACATATATACAATCGTTCCTTTTTAGGGCCACTAAAGCAAATGATGAAGCTTAAGTAATAAATTATCGTTGATAAGGGTTAGGCTATAAAGCACATAGCTCCGCAATTAAGAATGTTAAGTGATATCAGATGCTGTTAGTACTTATAAGTCAGAGACCGCAAAAACCCCTGAGTAACAAATTTTAGGCTGATGCTGACAATTTTTAAAAATTCGTCCGCCATATTGGATCCGCCATTTTGAATTTTGAAATTTGGACATCAGATTCGTAATCAGAGAACCCAAAAACCCCCGAGTAACAAGTTTCAAGCCTAATATCCTGATACAGTAGCTTCTACGATAATTTGTTTAAAACAATTGTTTATTAGGTATTTAATATTTATTGTATAATGTATTGTATAATGTTTTTGCATTATTATTTTTTTATGAGTGCAGTTGTAACATTTCTGAGTGATATCTAGTTAATTTCAGCTTTTTCTGCAGAAACAAAATATATTTTGTTAAAATGTGCAATTTACATTGTATATTTGTTTATTTAACAATTAAACAACAACAAAAATCGAAAATCACAGTTCTCTTAAGAATTTTGTTTTAAGTAATTTAAAAAAAAATTGAAAATCGGTTAAGAATTGTGATCTGTAGTCGATTATAAACAGTAAATTCCAGTTTTCAACCACTGTGCACCGTGATAATTAAATGACATAAGAGTGAAATTGGAGAAAAAAAGTGCGAATTTCTTCTTGGTGAACTAGTCAACGGTTATTGTTTCAAATAAAAGCGACGCCGCGAACCGCGAAGAGGCGGAAAAACGCAACGCGCGGCTCAAAAGGAGCGTGATCACTGTTGATTATTTAAAATAACTGAAAAATTATGATTAATAAAATAGGGTGTGAAAGCGATATTATAAAATTGGAATTTTTTGTGGTTAATTAAGTGAATTAATTATTAGCGATCACCGCCCATGAATTAAGATTTTTTTTTACTGAAATTACACAAAAACGTCGAATTAAAGAAATTTGCCAGTGAAACCCGTTCAGTTTTTTCTTCGCGTACGCGAATATTAGTGTGCGGGCGTTGGTATTTTCGCGCTTAGCGTTATAGCGTCAGGCGGGAACAGAAGCCAAACGTGTGCGGAGCGTTGGCGGGAATTAAGCGTCACTAGTGATAGAATAGTGAGCGTTGTTACGATCAGCGTGGTCTCTCTCTCAGTGAAAATAAATAATTTATTTATTTGATTATTAATTTAATTTATTTTTACTATTTTATTTAGTTATTGTTTTTTTTGAGAGAGAGACCCGGAGAGTGTGTATGAGATATTTGTGGAAAAGGAGTGAGGATTGTTAATGCTTGAGGAGATATCGTTGATGTCGAAGATTGTGAGATCACTGACGAGTGACGCGATGGAATCTTATAGACGGCAAATAATTTCGCTACTCGAGAATAAGGAGATACGACGAATATGGGAAAATATTTGTGAGATGTCTGAGGACATTGCCGGCGTTTTTAAATTATGGGCGGCAACCTCAACCGGTAAAAAGTTTACGTCGTAAGGTAGAGAGCCGGAAATTGGTCGAACGAATCAACCCGGAAGTTTGGTGTGGTCGACTAAGAAAGTTAGATGCTTTAAGATATTTGGTGGCCCGTTTTATTGACAAGAGTAGGGAAAAACAAGCGGAAAACTATCATCGAAATAATCGGGAAGCAACCTTTAATGTCGGTGATAAGATATTGTGGAAGACACTGTGACGTGGCACAATTTTTTAGAGAAACTTGTAAACAAATTTTGTTTATAAACATTATAAATAAACAAACTTCCTTGCGCCGTTGTCAGTGGCTACAGCAGTTTCTCAGTTCTGGTCAAAATATTTGTTTATCGAATTTATTTATTTATATTGTTGTATTTTCTTTTATAAAAATATTATCGAGCGAATTCAAAATCAAGACGTTTCCCGGCTATCGTCCTGCGGGCAAAAAAGAACAATCATCACACCTGCGCAGATTCTACATTCCCTTCATTCCCAGCTGAAAACTACAACGTCAACCAAATGAAAATTGAATTGACTGGATATACCTGTCACTTTTAAATTCGACCCACACAAAAGTCAACTTACAAATAACCCTTTGAGTAAATTATATTTATTTTCTACATTTACCAAATTTTACTGGAATCTCAAAAATTTGAAGAGTTTGACTATCGAACAGGATGGTCCCTGTCATTTCTCTATATTGCAAAGAGATACCTTTTGCCCAGGCCCGAATTCTCATGTCACTAATCTATATTTTTCCCTTTTTAATTTATGATTGATTTTTGATTTATTACTTTCCCTGTTATCAGTGACAATTAGAGAATTTAGGAGGTTGACGTCGTGGAATTGAAAAGTAAAAATCTCAGAAAGCGAGAAATTGCAACTTAAAATAAACCCCGGTTTCACTATTTTTGACAGTAATTACGCTCCTGTTTTCGGAGGAGTAATACTAGTTTGGGAGCATTGCAACCGGCGGGGTGAACGGAGGGGAGGAATCAAGGCAGCATGCTGACCAAGCAAAACCTAATCGCTCTCTGGATTTGGTAGCCCTTAAAGACAGCCGCTTTTGAAGAGAGTTACAATTTTCTTTGCGAATATAATTTCGAATTTTAATTCTTTCTGATAAAATTATTGTATGTGTGTGCGGATCCTTCGACTTCTCTTCCCTGCGTTGGAAATAAGAGACAAAATGTAAGTCAAGTCACAATTCTCCTTAACTCTTTTATTTTAAAAATGTAATTTTCTTTCTTTTAATTTTTTTTGGGCAATGATAATTGATTTGTCCCTAACTTATTAGTTGAGAAAACCCCTATTTTTATTGATGAGACCCTATTTGTTAAATGGAGTTGTCCCATTTGTAATTTTTTTTATTCTTTAAAGTCCCTGTTACTACTAAAATTAGAATTGTCCCTCTTTTGAGAGTGATTTGTCCCTTTTTCTCTTGCAGAAGACAGAAAACCTTGCTAATTATAAAAACCGACTTGCCCCAATTCATAGTTTAAAAAGGAGAGGAATACCGTTTTTGTACTAATTACCGCCGACTTAACAAACAAACGGAAGATGCGCCACAGTGTTTGCCACGAATTCACGAAACCCTAAAGAATATCGGAATGGCTCGAATCTTTTCAACACTCGATTTCAAAAGTGGTTATTGGCAGATCCGTCTAGCTCTCAACTCTCTGAAGTGCATAGCATTCTCTGTACCTGGTGGAGGGCAATATCAATATAAGGTAATGCCTTCGGACTCAAAAACGCGCCTGGAACGTTTCAGAATCTGATGCGAGAAGTCCTAGCAGAACAATGGAACGTTTTCGCCATGGCCTACCTTGACGACATTATCATCTAGTCTACCACTTGGGAAGACCATCTGCAACACATCTCACTTGTCTTCGAATGACTCTCTATTTACGGTCTGACGGTCTCCCCTGCAAAGTGTATATTTGGACAAACGACACTGCCGTACTTGGTCCACCTCGTCAATTCAGATGGTAACGCAGCACAACAAGGACACCTCGACTCGATACGAGACTTCCCAATTCCAAAAACACGAAGACAGCTTCAGTCATTCATAGGGACATGTAATTGGGTTAAAGAATATATTCCAAATGCATCGGAAATAATGACACCATTGACAAACTTGCTCTCACCAAAGCGACCCTATAAGTGGACCCCAACCCTTCAACAATTCTTTGAAGAAATAAAAGAGGCGTTTTCTAAGCCCATCAAGCTCAGCCGACCCGAACCGGATCTACGCTTCGTTTTGTAAACTGACGCAAGCGCCAAAGGTATGGGGCCGTATTGATATACGCCTCTGGAAGGCGTACGTAAGATCATCGCCTTCGCTAGTGCCAAATTTTCACCGGCCGAGAGTCGGTATCATTGCAACGAACAAGAGTGTCTCGCGATAATGTGGGCCGTCAAAAAGTTCAGACCCTAACCTTGAGGACCGTGCTTTCACTCTACGTACAGACAGCAAGACCTTGCCGTGGTTAAAGGCACAAAAGGACTCGCGTTAAACTCACGAGGTGGTACATGTTACTCAGCGAACTCTCTTTTACTATTGAACGTGTACCTGGCAAAGACAACGAACTGCCAGACATCCTTTCGAGGAACCCGTGCACAGAAGAAACATCTTCAGGCGAACCCGAACTGGAAAGGATGTTTCCGTCTACACGCTGCGCTCACAACAAGAACCAGGAACCCTCCGTTCCGGTCTTGAGCGCCTTGTATACCACCCCGTTAGCCAAAGACTTGGTGCTGGAGCAACAACTCTACCCGATCATTTGCCGTGATATGGATCGCTGGCGACGAATTTCTCTAAACCCAATGAACACACAGGAGGATCAGGATTTTCTTACAAATAATCGTCTGGACGAGCAAGGTTTCTGGCGTAAGGAAAAATCTGACGACAAATGGCGGCTCCACGTGCTCATAACACTGCGTCCCCGTATTCTTTGGGAATTCCGCGATGCTCCACTCTCGGGACACCCTGGATCGGATGAAACAATACGAGACATTTGTCAACGTTTCTTTTGTCCCGGAATGCACCGAGATATACGGCGATATGTGTCTGGTTGCCACTTGTGTATATGCTGCAAACCAGTGCGACAAGACCTAGCGCCTAATATGCGACTTCGCGCCGCAAAACATGCTTGGGAGACGATAGCCGTCGACCTAATGGGACCGTATCCCCGCACCAAGGACGGAAATCGTTTTATCTTGGTTGTGACCGACTTATTTACCCGATGGGTGGAAGCGTTTCCCTTACGCGCTTCAGATGCCCCACGTTTAATGCGGATCTTGGAGCCACAAGTCTTCTCTCGCTATGGCTACCCCAAGCGAATACTTAGTGATAACGGTACTCAATTTACCGGTCACATCTGGGCTGAAGCAGGGCAATGATGGGACTGCCAGTTATGGACCACATCCGTCTACCACCCAAGAGCCGACCCAACGGAGCGCCGCAACCAAGAGATTAAGAAGGGTTTAAAACTCAGATTACACCAAGGCAACCAAAACACCTGGGACCGTAATATTTCAGAAATACTTTTCGGACTCCGTCGTCGACCCTTACTATGGCTGGTGAACAACCACCAACGAACACTACGGCTGGCGGACGACCACCGACTCTTAACAACCAACAATGTTCATAACGAAGGACCAACCGAATATCGCCTTGGATGACGCCAAGGCGGATGTAGGTCTACAGGATGTTCCAGATGAGTTTATCCAACCACCAGAGAACGCCAGGGGGCGTTACCGGCTAGGCAACAGAAGATGCGTTACATATAGGGACAATCGGCCCTATACAAGACAGGAACGACGTGGATAAGATACAACAAACTGGAGAAACAAGATACGATTGACTCGTTGCAAAGGTCTATCCGGGAGAGGGTGGAGTTGTTATACCACGGGCCAGACAGGTTTTCCGCAATTTGGCGCCGAACCGAAAAACTCATTACGTGAATAGCGAACACCTCATTCACGTAATACAGAGCTATTGTGATGGCCTATATTGAGTCACCACTCGACACCTTTAACCCTTAATCTCTTCCAAATTTTTTAATCTTTCACTTAAAACAAAGTTCAGTAAAATCGGTTAAAAAATGAAGGCTCTAGACTATTATAAACAGTAAATTGCAGTTTGGTCCCACTGTGCTACGTCCGGCACACACCGGGAAAGTAACAATATCGCGCAGAATTCAGATACGCTTACAATACAGCTTTCCATGACTCCTTAAAAGTTTCCCCACCCTTCCTAAATTTTGGACATCACCCTAACGCCATTATAATGAATTACGTAATAAACTAAACAATAGTCCTCCTAAAATAGAACAAAGAGATCCGACCCTTTGAAAAGAAAGAATGAAAAAGATCCAGTTAATGAAAGATTGGGTAATTGAAAATAAGGACAAAGCCTATCAAAAGCAATCACGTTATTATAATCAACATCACCGAGCAGTGAATTATTTAGTAGAAGACCTTGTTCTCACTCGCTGTCGCATTCTTTCCTCCAAAATCAAAAACATTACCTCAAAACTACAGTACGGTCGCGCTAATCCGACACCTGGTTAATCCGACACTCCTTGTAATCCGACAACAATTAAGATGACCGTTTTCCCCCACCTAAGATAAGTGGGGGGCGCGACGGAAAACCTCAATATATTAAAATAAGTACACTTGCTAATATTTATCGATTTATATATTAATATTTTATTATATAAAACAATTCAATTGTTATTTACTCATTTTATATAAATATGTAGTGCTCAAATAAACAAATTGAAATAAAGAATGATTATAAAGATTATAACTATGGATATACAAGTCTAAATGTCGGATTACAGAGTATGTGTTGAAAAATTTGTCCGAACTACAGAGGTTTGTTTAAGTACTCGGTAATCCGGACAAATCGCTAATTCGATATTTTCGTGCAAAGCAAATGTCGGATTAACGCGACCGTACTGTATCTCCTAAATACTCTGGACCGTGTAAAATTACAAAAATTCGTTATCAAAATGTTGTTGAGCTAAGTGATCTGTCCCTTAAACACATTGGAAAATTCCACATAAAAGATACCAAGCCATTTTTATGTACTGATTTTAATTCTGATTTGTAGATACGGATCGCTATTGGTCAAACTCGTCCCATCACCATGGAGACTGAAAAAGTCGACTACCTCAAAAACACCATTGTATATTTCACAAATATGGCACACCGTCTAATCGTGGACCTGGAGAAGGAACAAGCAAAGACGAAACAATACCCGAAGTTCCTTAAAGAAGAAGCGGACTGTTTAAAGGAAAAGGAGGAGGAAAATTCAAAATTGCTTCTTAAAGTCCATGAGTTGGAGCGCCTTATCGAGGAATATCAACAACCAACAGAACTCGACAATTCATGGAACCCTACAGATGAGGAGCGGAGTACGACCTAGCCAGGTTGGCGAGATATAAAGCCTTACCAAGCTATTCTGTCCCGCATCTTCAAACTCTACCCTGGTCTCCAGTATGCAATGAAGTTCCTGTTGCAAATAATGAAATTCCTCTTGTCGACATGACCCAAGATACAATCTTAACTCCGCCTTACGCCCCTCCCGTTTCTCCAGATTTGACGCAATTCATCTCCAACGAACACGAGATTAATGACAATCCTGCTAACCTCTCATTTAGCATTATTTCGGAAGAATCGGAAGACGAAATTATAATTGTCGACACCGACACACCTCCTGAAAACAACCGGTCTAGAGTTCCCTCCATTTCTGACTTGTCCACTACCAACTTCTTCATCATTTACGACGACTAATTTCTTGGCGACCTTCCTGATAATTTGCAGAACACATCAGTGACTCCTAGACCCTCGACTCCTATAGAACAGGTTATAGAATCCCTTGATGACATAATCAGAATCGACATCGAAGAAACCTTTGACGACCCAACACCCGTACACAGCCCAGCGCCTTCCTTCGAAATAATTATTGAAGATCCTCCGCACCACCCTATTTCGGAAGTTGTCCCCGAAATTACCACCAATCTCCTTGAAGTTAACGTTGATGAACCTCTTTCTGATCCTCTTTCGGAACTAGAACACACTATCTCTTCCGGAGTTGACTCCGAAGATCCTCTTGCTAGCTCCCACGAATTCGCCCAACCCGAACAGGTCAAAAGTTCCCCAGTGATAACTGTAGATCCACTTACACCTGATTTCAACAACAACAACTTCGAATTCTGTCTAAAAGACTATTTAAAAAGACCTCATCCGATTCGACCTAAAAACTTCGAAAGACCAAAGAAATCCCAGAGGGTTATTCCTCAAGAATCACTTACGAAACCAGAAACTCCACAGTCTAACTCTTTTGAACCATAACCCGAATTCAGACCACCATCGCCATTTCCGCTTCTTCCTCGAACTGAAAATGCAAACCCTGCCTTCTGAAAAATGTAAAAAGACCTCCAACTCCAAGTATGAACTGATCTCAGTAAAAAGAAAATTTCTACGTATTATTATTATGACTAGTATTATAATTGTCGATATTGAAATCCGTCGATAGGTTGTAAATTAAAATTATATTAAATAAATATATATTTTCTTAAATTTCATAAATAACCCGACTTAATTTATTCAACTTAGTTAGATACCCTACTCCTTTTAAGATTTAAATAAACACAAAACAGTATAAAAAATTAATCTTGTTTATAAAATAAAATCCTCTTCAGAGACATTTAATTAGAACTTTAGATTTAAAAATTTGCTATTATCGAAATCAAAAATTGCTCTCAAGAAATCCACATACGCACAAAGACTAATTGGTAAGTTCATTTTAGTATATTACTGATAATTTAATTGATTTGATGTAAGGGCTGAGAAACTCTACAATTACTGTTAAATGAGCCGGGACCGCTTGCCTTCGCAAGAGGCCGTTTTCGGCCCTCTTTTAGAAAAGGAGTGTTGTGACGTGGCACAATTTTTTAATGAAACTTTTAAACAAATTTTGTTTATAAATATTATAAATAAATAAACTTCCTTGCGCCGTTGTCAGTGGATGCAGCAATTTCTCAGTTCTGGTCAAAATATTTGTTTATCGAATTTATTTATTTATATTGTTGTATTTTCTTTCATGAAAATATTATCGAGCGAATTCAAAATCCAAATTTTACTGGAATCTCAAAAATATTAAGAGATTGACTGCTATTGAACAGGATGGTCCCTGTCATTCTCTATATTGCAAAGAGACATCAAAGAGACACCCCGAATTCTCATGTCACTAATCTCTATTTTTCTCCTTTTAATTTATGATTGATTTTTGATTTATTACTTTCCCTATTATCAGTGACAATTAAAGAATTTAGGAGGTTGACGACGAGGAAAATAAGAATTGAAAAGTAAAAACCTCAGGAAGCGAGAAATTGCATCTTAAAATAAACCCCAGTGTCACTATTTTTGACAGTAATTACGCTCCTGTTTTCGGTGGAGTAATACTAGTTTAGGGCCATGGCAACCGGCGGGGTGAACGGAGGGGAGGAATTAAGGCAGCATGCTGACTGAGGAAAACCTAATCGCTCTCTTTGGATTTGGTAGCCCTTAAAGACAGCCGCTTTTGAAGGAAGTTTCAATTTTCTTTGCGAATATAATTTCGAATTTTAATTCTTTTTGATAAAATTATTGTGCGTATGTGCGGAACCTTCGACTTCTCTTCCCTGCGTTGAAAATAAGAGACAAAATGTAAGTCAAGTCACAATTCTCCTTAACCCTTTTATTTAAAAAATGTAATTTTCTTTCTTTTAATTTTTTTTGGGAAATGTAACAAGTGGTTCAGCCAGCCTCGTGGCCAAACGAGAGTGTGTTAGTGAATTAGTAGTCATTTTAGCAATTTTCTTGTTTCCATAATTTCAATTTTATTCAATTTCAATTTTGATTATTATAAAATGTTATCTTATATAATTTCGTTTATTTGAACGTTCAGAATTTTAGTAAATCTTATAACAGTTACAAAATACAAGCAAGAAAATAAAGAGTAATGGGAAGGATAAAAAATTAAAGTAAGTAAGATCTGTATATTTAAGGAAAAAATTTTTAATACCTGTAAAAAGGAGCAAAAGTGTCAAATGAGAATTGACTATACGTTAGAAATATTTAATAATAATTGTTTTAAAATATTTTATCAGAGTATTATTTTATATTATGAGACTAATTAAATTATTATAATAAAACTAAGTATCTGTCTTCTTGTGAATGTGATACTAGTTTATTATTGAATTCGTCCATTTATTATAATGCATAAAATTTTTTTAATTCAAGTTCTTGCGATATTTATATTTATAGTTTTAAAAACTATTATTATTCCTTTTAATTTTTTACATTTACTATATTTTAATTAAGTAACTTACAAAAATCCAAAAAGCAAT